TGAGTTCAAGGCCAGCCTGAACTGCATAGGGAGACCCTGTCTCACAAAACAAAAACAAAACATCAACAACAAAAAAGAAGCATAAAGAGATTTATTAGGCAAAAATTTAAAAAAGTGCATGCTGAGAAAAAGAGTATGGCCTTCAAAAGGGAGACAGGCACCTTGTGAACTGTGGCAGGGTATATTTGTGGTGCTTTGGAGTGGAAATCTGGAACATGTTAATCTATGGAAAGAGGAGGTTCAATTTATAGATAAAAGATAGTGGGTGATGGGCCATTCATAGGTGATAAAGCCATCACAGCTGATAGAGCAGTGCAAACAAAGCCAACTGTATTCAGATGTCTCATGGGTATCTCAAGGTTTCTAAGTAATAAAACCTAAATTTGTAAGTCTTCTTTCAAACTTTTCTTTCCATGAAATTTTTTTCCGTCTCAGTAAACAGTACTACTTTCTAATCAGCCACTAACGTCAGAAAACTGGAAGTCATCTTTCCTTCCTCCCTGTCACATGCCACATCATTCCCCTCAGCAAGTCCTTGAGTCCTGTCAGAAGCCATCTCTCAGCCTCCATATATTCTGCCATCATCTTAGTACAAATTGCCATTATCTTCTGCTTTTGCTGTTGTATTAGCCTTCTAACTGCATGACTTGGTCTCCACTCTCCCCTCCAGATTGATCTTATGACATCTGTCCTTGCTGAAAATATTCCTGATACACTGGCCTTTTCTCAGGTTCTTGAATACCCTGGTATGTCAAGCTCTACAAATCCCATTCATTCTATTTGGAATGTTTTTGTTCTCTTTCATGGCTTGATCAGTCTCAACTTTCAGGCTTCAATTTAAATATCAAAACTTGGCATGGAGGCGCCTATAATCCCAGCACTCTAGGAATCTGTGAAGGGTTGAGAGTTTGAGCCCACCCTGGGCAATTTATGGAGATCCTATCTCGAAAAACAAAACAAAACAAAACAAAACAAAACGGCTAGGGATGTGAAGGACCGGGTTCAACGCCCAGAACTGGGGGAAAAATTAAAGACACACAAGGCAGGCAAAGACAGACAAGAAGAGGCCTGTAAACTATGCTAAGTGGTTTGGATTTAAACCTATGGGAAAATAGAAGCAGTTGAAATGTGGGAGTTGAAACAGGAAGTGACTTGGTCAAGTTCACACTTTGTCAGCCTGGCAGCTGTGGAGACCAGATTGAAGCTTGCAAGATTGTACGCAGAAGCAGCCACGGGAGGCTGCTGTCACAGTTATGCATAAGTCATAGGGTCCAACTAAAGTAACCACTGCAGAGAAGGAAATGGATTTGAGACACAGATGTGAGGGATGAGAGGGAGTCTAGAAAACCTTCAAGTTTCTGGTTTCCGGAAACCACTGTCAAGCATTTTCTCTCTGGGCTATCAAAGCAGTTTGGAAAAACCACTCTTCACAGCACGTTCAGCTCTGTATGGCCGCTTTCTAAGGCCAAAGTGGAGCCTTCCCTCACTGTTTATTTCTGGTTCTAAAAGCTCACCCCGCCGGGCGTGGTGCACGCCTCCAATCCCAGCATTCGGGAGGCCTGTAACGGCTTCGTTACAAGTCTCCCAGCCTACTGCTCCCCGAGAACCCCGCCGCAGCTCCTCACCTGCGGCAAAGGCCCAGCGGCCGCTCCCGGGAACGCTCAAGTAACGTAGGTCAGCTGGGCGCAGAGGATCACCAAATACATTCAATCGAATCTCCCGCGCCCGCTTCCGCCGGAAGTGACGCATTGACCGTGGTTCCTCACAGCCAATCAGAGAAGGCGCCGCAGAGATAAGCCGCGAAACTCAGCGTGTCCGGCAGCGATCATTTTCTTCCAACTAGGGGGAGAGAGAGTTTGAGGGACGTTCTTCCCCGACTAGTGGGGCAATAGTACAGTGTGTGAAGTTGGTTCTGGGCTTCTCCGAGGCAGCCTGACTTACCGACGGCGGGAAGGCGTGGCAGCGGGTAGCCACGCCCCTCGGGCTGGGGTAGGGCTGAGTGACGCAGGCCGTGGGAGCAGGGAAGCAGAAGAGGGCGCTGTTCCAGGGGGCCAGCGCCGCCCAGGGCCGGCGGGGATGCGCGCGGTGGCGGGGCTGGGTCTAGTGAGTTACCCGGGAAAGCGGAGAGGGGGCGTAACCCGCGAGCAGGCCCGGGAAGGGGCGACCTGGAAGGGTGGCTTGTGCGGGCCCGTGGAGGTAGGTCGGCTTAATGGGGCGAGGTGCGAGGAGCGCAGTCTGCGGAGCCGCGCCCCACCTCCTGCCGCCTGGGCGACGGGATGCAGATCCCCGCGTCTGCGCCGCCGCCGTATC